AATGCTCACAAGTCTGGTGCCCCTCAGTGAATCAGCCGTCGATCCACTGACATTGTTGACTTGTTTGAAGATGATCGGCTAGTTAAACGGCAAGTCGCCAGACTAACACGTCACCTGGCTCTGATGGCCCATAAAATTGCATTTTTCAGTCACAAACACTTAAGTCGGACGTCGGATTGAGTGTGAACAATTGAATGTCAATATGATCGCCGGGTAAACATGACTGTTCTCTGAACTAGGGCTGAACTGATGGAGTTGATCAATTTTGGATTTGGCGGAGCGCCATAGCCACGTTTCATTGCGCGCGGAAGTACGAAGCAGTCTACAATAAAGTTCATGATGCAAACAGAGGGTGAAAGGTGGCCTCGCACTATATATCACCATGGAAAAAAATTGGTGAACGTTACCCAAACAAGTCATCTCACGGTGCAAGTTTCCCGGTAGTGTATCAAGATAATTATGTTATCACCTTCTAACCAAAACAGGGGTAATAGAAATGTTTTACACAATTCTTTCTTTGTAACTTTCTTTATAACTTGTGCTGAGCCCTTGAATCGATCTCCAGACGCACATTGCACATCCTGGGTATTCTTTGACAAAGAATCAGCTATTTGATCATAATATTGAAATTATCCCTAGTGGTTCACGGGGTGAATGTCCTCATCCCCGAGACAAATCAAGGTTTGACCAATTTTAGATATTCTAACTTTATAGTGAATTTTATCGTACATAGAACAAACGAAGATTCAACTGAAAAGCTAGGAAGCACTGGACAACTAATTCAACATGTTTGGTTCTCATTAGCAGTGAGAATTCATCGACCAAACTAGAGATCAAACCCGGAACCTCACAGGTAGAACACAAATATACTAACCGGGCACCGCGTGGCTGATCAGGTAATTCTACATTTAGAGGATATAGAAAACCCATCTTCGAATTCACTTGATGTACAGCATGCAATGAAAAATTTAGAGTTTCAAGATTGGATTAGCCCATTTGATTGTTCAGAGGCATCAGACAATCGTGATGGTCTTGGGTGATGGTTTTACTCCTTAGGAGATCGTTAATTCCCCGCGAGGTAATGCATTCCGATGCGATGAAAAATCGACAAAGAGCACTGGACACCTGTTTCATCCTGTTCGGGACTAGTCAGCAGTGCGTACTTTTTGTGACCGTGTTAGGACTCGAACCGAAAACATTCAGGTAGGAACTTTGAACACTTACCCCTAAGCTACACGGTCGACGATCATCAGTAACTGATCACTGAACATTGATTGAGCCATTCGCACATGGTGATGACCGTCGACCGTGTAGCTCAGGGGTAAGAGTTCGAAGTTCCTACCTGAATGTTTGCGGTTCAATTCCTGGCACGGTCACAAAAAGTATGCACTGCTGACGAGTCCCGAACGGGATGAAACAGGTGTCCAGTGCTCTTTGTCGATTATCACAAACATTTCCATCGCATTGGAATGTATTACAAATGTTCGTTGTTCCAGGGAGAAATATATGTTAAGCATAACCTCGTATACCACCTGATTTTAATGACACCTAAATGGGTACATACGTGGTCTGATTCTCCTACCAAAGGTTTGTGGTAGGATAATAGGTACCAACACGAAACAGTACACCGTTGATAAGTTCAAATGCGAAAAGTGCTATGCAGTGCTCTTCGCAAACAATCATCCATCAAGTTTCTTTGCCCGGGATAAATATGTGGCAGAATGATTTCCATTTAGTTGGAAAAATATGAAGCGAATTCTCTCACTGATTTTCAACAAATAATCGCCTTTGATAATCTGGAAAAAAATAAAACTTCAAACTAGATGGATACAGATACACAGGTACTCCGTTATCTGTATGACTCTATTTTCTAACGAAGGTGTGGTCGGCTTACCATTATCTCAGTACTATTCATAATAATTACTGTTGTTAACGAAATTCCACAAATAACAGCCAGAAAAACAGTCTACTCGTGCCACTCACACGAAAGTATTGAACCGAGACACTACTGTACGGTCAAGAAAACAAAGTCTGTCGCGTCGAAATGGACCGACACGTATTTTTCTTTGTTGTCTTTCATATCAGAGCTATGCTCTGGGTGAATGCCTACGGAAGCAAACTGTCTCTTGAGGGAAGAATACGTGTGACCTTTATTCGACTCCAGTCTGAAATTTATGGTGTGCGTTAAGGCAAACGTTCATTGGTTGATATAATTTCGTTTTATAGATGGGCGAATTCGAAAAATTATCAAAGTAATGGTACTTTCCGTTGATCGATATGGGAAACAAACAATACGGGACTATTCACATTCAGTTGGTTTTCATGTTTCGCATCTCAACTGAGACACACGATTATCAGAGATCAATCAAACTTAACGTGATATCATGGTCTCCGTTGTATACCGTTTGCGATCCATTGTGAAACGGAGACTCAATCCAAACAGATTCCGCCACACATGTTTTCCAATGTAATTATATAAAAAATAGGAATGCAATCACCAGTTAATTCACATTCAAAAGTGATTAGTAATATAAGATAGGTTTTGACTGGCCATATTTGGGGCATCATCTATCCCCAATTCAAACAATCAAATAATACACTTCGGAAGCATATGAGTCAACATTTTGTCCCCCCGCGACACAGACTTAAGCTCAGACTGAAAAACGATTATCTTGCTCTGATTCAAATCAGCAAACAAAAGCAAATCGTATATATTACTTTCGCTATCGTTTAGTGTCATAGAGCACACTGCTTAAATTCAAAATAGCCAGGCAAGATTTTTCACCTGTCGCGACATACCACCGTACATGGAAAGTTTCGTCAAGTACATTGGTGTCACCTTAGAATGCAGTCTCAAATGGCATCAATCTATTCTGAGGAATGTTGCTAGAATAAGGCGGTTGTCCATCCACGAGCGTTGCTGATAACAGTTCGAGGAATTTGTGATCTCATTCGCCATACATCAATCAGTATAGCTCAACACCCTCCATCTTTCTTCAGCCCCCTTTTTCGGTCTATTTGGAACGAAAAAAAGGATTTCACTGCTTCGTGCTGTGAATTACCCAGTATTATCTTTGTTACATTCTTTCCCATTCCTTTTACTGTCAATGAACTTCATTGCCTTCCAGTTTACTTTTGTGTGATTCTCACTTATAAGAGTCTCATCAACAACTCGAATCCTCTTTTTCGTCTGTCTTTTTGTTTATCTTCTCATTTTTCAACTAAGTCTAATTCTTGGCTCAGTACTGCTAGAATCCGGTCTAGTATCTGGTCTACTTCCGAAAGGAAATGCGAAAAGGTTAAGCATCCAGTAATACCGGATGTACTGGTGTTTGTATTTCTGAGCTCCGCATAATAGGTTATTGTCAACTAGTCAATTCGTGGTGTGGTTATTAAATATTATTGAACAGTCCCAGTCAACACCTATCTGTTTCACTGCAATTTACAGTGATGCTATTTGTGATTTACCGTTTTATTCTGTTGTTGGTGTACCATCATAACATCACAATAATCCGTCATTTTCCCTAAAGACGTTCGTGCACCTAACACGTTTTCACGGTTTAGTTAATGGGGAGGCCTGAACATTAATGTTTTGATTAGCAAGATCTGATAGTAATTTAGCTTCCTCCACCCTTCCTTCAGTTCACTCACTTTATCTTATTGTGATATTTTCCGTTGTGCCATTCTCACGACTTCAGTTTTATTTTTCAGAAAAGCAACCGCTCCATTGTTAGGTTAGCTATGTTTCTTCACCACGGGGCTATCTTCAACTTCTATCTCATCTTCTTTGCAAGCAACGTCACCAAATGTTTTTTACTGATATGAGCTAACGAAAACAGCATTTCTTCTATGCTTTATACCTTCATTCAATCGATTTCCAAATCCCCACTTCCACATATCAACCCCACGCAAACATACATCGAGCAGATCAACTTCACAATAAGTTGCAACAACCCGAAATTTCAGTTCAATTTTGACTTTTACTCCTGCGTTTTCCTATATTCATACCATAAGCATTAACTTGAATGTGATAGATTTTGCTCATATGTATACCGAATAAGAGCATCAGATACAAGCTCTCCTGGTAGTCATATGCTGAATTCATTGAAAGACACTGTGCTGCTGAGTGTGGGCTTCAACAGCACCAGCGTTGGGTATCCTCATTGCTATAGCCTGTAGTTCGTCCTGGTACGTACAGAATCCCTGATCCGGAAGTGAGATAGGCGGGTAGAGGCGCAGCGGGGTCAGGGAACTTGGAGCTGGCAATGTTCTCCGAATAGATACATCACAAATCACAGCCGGCATGTATTTAACCGGCTGAACAGGGAGGGATACAAATTGAATAGACCGAGTAGGAGGTGGGAGTGAAAATGTGAGCATAATCCTATCATATTGGATTTGTATGTGGAAGGGAGAAATTGATGTGTTCATGCAGTTTGGGATTGAATTTCCTCTGCTCTCTCCAGAAAACTGAGAAGAAAATAGAGAGAGATATTAAGGAATTAGGTAGTGGAGGAAGCAAAGGGGTTTTCTTTACAAGCGAAAGTGTGCGTCAAGTGCACGTGCGTTTCTTTCATTCGAGTCTGTTTCTTTGTTTTTTTGTGTGTATGCGTGTGTGAAGATTTGTATTTGTATTCATAACCGTTATTAATTGAACGAATCAAGTATGTGTGTTGCGAAGGGTCTGAAGAAGATGAAAGAATGCGGAGAGAAGTGGATGGGTTGTTGAAATGCGAAATGCAGTTTGAGCGCTGTCGGAATGATAGATCCTTGAAAATGAAAAGTCGCTGATATCTACCAAGCACCGAAAACAAGAATTTTCCAATCTGAGCAATCCTACCGAGCGATGGCGCTTTGGTAATGAGGAGACTATTAGGGGAAATATGATGAAGGGTAGATCTGTTGCCTGAGCATAATACTGCATGAAAAAGAGCTGTGATATTCTGTTGACTGAACAGAGTGAGAGCGAAACAGAGGGGTAGCGTAGATCAGGGCTCAAATTAGGCCCGCGTATTACGAGGTTTGTGCAGACCGGAAAACGACCAAATGGAAGGAGAAGAAACAAAACGGGCTGCTCGACTCAGTGTGTCACGTAGAGATCGGACGACGTGAGAAAATGTCATACTGTAGTTGACTGGTGAGTCCGTCAAATTACGTAAACACGGCACTGAAGGTAGCCGGAGTAAATGGTGCTCCGATTTTCGTTTTGCCCGGTTCTGTTCATTCACATCAGTCCAGCCCAGGCCTGTGCGAATCAACTTGCGATGGTGAGATTTCGAACTGGCAACAGACGTGTGGGGAAAGGATAAGAGGGATGTCACGGAAGCCATATAGATCGAATCCAACGAGGCACTCATGCGATTGTTGTTTAGCAGAGCCCAATCTGATGGGGACATTGAACACAACCAGGGAAGTAAACAACCAGGACAGGTAAATGCATGCAATGGGAACACGTAGCAAAAGTTGGGGTTATAAAAAATGTGATCAAGTCATGCAAATCTGCTCCGTTGTGCAACTTAACTACCTGGTCAATAACGCATGCTCTTTGAAAAATTAGCTAATAAAAGTTGTCATTCTCCATACAACAATCGTTGAAACCACAGTCAGGAAACAGTAAATACTTGACAAACGTGTTGGTATGCAAGTAATAATAACAGACATACCAAATAAAGAAGGGTATCATATGGTTACAGTGAAATAAAAATGTATAATCATTTAGTTCGGTGTATGGTAGTTGCCCACAGTTCCCTCTAATATTTGACTATATTTATTCCATCAAAACAGAAATAAGACAAATGTCGCGAGATGTTAACATTTCGTTTAATCCTCTCAGTCGCTAACTTGAAACAAGCAGGCGCATATATAGCACAGTGGCCTAGTGGATAGTACGGTTGCGTTCTATCTGAGTTCCCGAGTTCAATCCACAGTTGGGTCGATGGATTTGCACTGATGATGAGACCCAACCAGGTCGAGACATCTGTTCCAGTTTTTCAGCTCACGCCTCGTTTACTCGAAGAATTCGTCTTTTTGTTTGTTAAAGAAAAAGCCAAAGGAATCCACCTTTGACGAGATCAACATATTCTACATATTTATGTTCTATACATCCGTGGCAAAGGCAAATCAATGTGGCATGTAGCTGAAGCTGTTGCAACACCGCGGCTCTTTATTGAATCAAAGTGTCATCCTTAAGGTGCTCCATTCAACTATTATAAACCCCAATAGAAAAATCTTTTGGATGCATTACAGTTAGAACACTACTCTTTGTGAAAGGACTAAAACACTTGTTAAGAAGCGATATCAGTATAACACCATAGATAGCCGCATTGTCTCATGCAGGTAAAGCTGTGCGTGACGTTAGCCATTGGAGAGTGTTACAGCTCACTTGTTCGCAATGGTCGTGTCCCGTTGTCCAGACCGCGAAAAACGGAGTAAGATTTCCGACCCAGGATGGACGAATTTGACCCAGGCATGTAGATCAGAGCAGAACAAGCATGCTCGGTAGCCAAAGCTAAATTCTGTGCAGTTGGAGGGGCAATGTTCACCTGAATCTCCACACAATAAGTTGCATCTTTACTATTTACATGTGAGTCTGTGGACTGGTTTGGTAAAACCGACGGCTTATCAGTCTGTCCCGCGAAATGCTTGACTTGTGATCCATCAACGTTCACAATTGCACGCGACCCCACAGATAATGCGGGTAGTCGTTTCTCACAGTGTGGTTTGGTCTGTTCTATGTTATCCAGACTCATGATTGGCAAATGCAATAACACGGGGTTCAGATTTTTCCCCTGAAACATTGATCGAAGTTGGTTGATGCGTATGTAGTTCATTTCGATTGGAGTAAATGAGGACAAGCGATGAAAATTTACAGAAGTGGTCGGATGAGAATGGTTCACATGAACAGTCACACTCGCAAAAGTGCCTTTGTTTACAAAAGACCAAGGAGTTATCTGGGTGGAACAGTTTTCACTAGACCGATGGTAAGGGACTAGGGAGCAGTCGTCTTCTGTGTATCCTGAACATTCCATTGGTTTTAGTTCAGTATCCGACTGGTTACCCGAAAAGTGAGCCGAATCATCGGTGAAACTGGCAAAATTCTCTACTTCTGAACAAGACGAAATGGATGCCAAATCGATTGCTGAATCACGCACACTCCGAAGCCAGGGGTGTTGTAGACATTGATCTGCGGTGAGGCGGACACTGTAAATGATCGGTCAAAAGCAAAATGGGAGAGAAAACAATAGTCAACAAGAAACAAAAAACCTTCAACGAACAAATAACTTTGATCTTTTCCAACGGGGAATTTATTGTGTGTACAGCAAATGAAACGTGAACCGAAAAGCTAGAAAACACTGTACAGCTGGATGGGTCTCATCAGTAGTGCGAACCCATCGACCCAATTGGGGACTGAACCCTGAACCTCACAGGTAAGACATAAGCATGCTGATCAGCTGCCCGGTAGCCGACTGGATTTCATGCTCGCATCCTACCTGTGAGGTCCTCCGTTCGATCCCCCATTGGGTCGATGGATTCGCACTACCGATGAAACCTAACCAGCTGTACAGTGCTTTCACGCTTTTCAGTGCGTGCTTCATTTGCTCTATCCACGACGAATTCCCCTTATGAAGTTACGTCAACTTCAGTACTACTCCCATGTAACTTTTAATCCTTTTATCGGGTTTCTAAACTTCTAAAAATAGATGAATGTCAAGTTATTGCGTAATCCTAGGTGTTAGTTTTTCGGTCCATTGAAGTGAGCAAGAAACAGAGGTGGTAGTTGAATGGAGACGAAACAATAGATTGCGAAATGGTTTTCATAACGAATACGATTCAAGCCAAACAAATGTTGATTCGAGAGACTTATGTAGAAATGTTGCCCGAAATAGAAAACATCAAAAGGCATTCACCGGTACATCGGAGAAACTGGTCAAGGATTTGAGTTCAGAACGGATTTTCTGTTCAGCAATTATATTGTTATGCTACATTTGTTTCGCGTTTTGTTTCACACGATGTAAGCAACAACTGTCTCACACAAAACATTCGGAAGGTAAGTACGGGTTGACAATCTAACACATGTCATGTTATTTCCCGACACTCGCCTTTCTAATGAATCACTAATTTAGAGGGAACACAGCTGTTCAGTCCGAATACTGTTTACCCAAGTAAAGCAGCACGGTTGCTATATATTGAATAGAAATGATTTTTAGGGGTCCGCAAAGGTTGTCAAACATTAGGATGGGTTTTGCTTAGATTTTAAACAATAGCGAGCATTTAATCAGATCAATCACCGTAGCCTGATAAGGCTTTCTTCAGAATTTCTAGGCTGAAAGTATCGAGATTGTTTACACGTCAAACAACGTTTTTAATCAAAGGAAATTTGTCATAAAAATTTGGTTATTTTCCGGGTAAAGATTGGAATACATGAAGTCAATATTTAACCGACGAATGGAAACCAATTTGAGCATCAAAAGTGTAAGTGGTTACACAGGAAACAAAATATAGCATATAGACTGGTACCCGAGGGAAGTACCTACGTATCTGCATTCAATAACGGAAATGGATATGGTTCTAGTCAATCAATCAAATAAAAATGAGATGTATTTTTATTGCGCCCGTAATCAACGTTATTTAAAGAGCAAGAACCGGTGGTATTGTCATTCAGACAGACAGATAGACTGACTGATTTTCTGGCTGGCTATGTGCCAGACAATCACTATACAATTCCTATCGAAACTCACCTTGGCTTGCGAATCAATAATGATTGAACAAAGTGGATGGCTTCAGGTGATCGTGTGGCAAATAACTCTTCAGGAAATCGGATCGTGCCGTGAGTGACATTTTGCATCGTAATTTCCTTCTCCTCAGCCAGAAAGGGTGAAACACCGGTGAGCAAAAAATAGGTGAGCACACCAACACTCCTGAAAACAAAGTAATTGATTCCAATTGCGATTGAATGTTGTGCAACGCAAACAGAAAAATATGACGGAGCAACAAGAAAAAGATGAAAATAAAAAAATATTTTTGTCGGCATTATCTGATGGATGAATGTTACCGGGGCAGCAAACAATTTGCAATGATACACATCACGGGGTGATGTGAAAAATTATTTAGAACTAATTAGTTTTTCAAATTTGTACAATGACTAATCAGTGGAGTGCAACATGAATACCTAAATGGATTTCGAAACAAGACAGAGGCATTAGAACCGATCCAAAATGACAAAAGTGACGAAAAAAGAAACATCAAAAGTAGTTTCGTAATTAGACGTCAGTGCAATGGTTCCATAAAATAAAACGTTTCACTTCATTTGATTTCCTAATGCGAAGCAGACTGGAACCTACGGAAATATTTATTAGGGTCTACATATTTTAAAATATATTCAACTGCTCGCTTTGCAATGAAGTATTACCGGTTGCAGCATATTTTCGTTATACACAGAAGCTTTTTAATTTACAACTTTGAACTGCCGGTTCCACAGTATTTTACCTAGTGCACATTCTTTGGGACTTTTAGATTACAAATTCGATGAGCTTTTTTCAAGCCAAACCATCGTAAAGATACAGCTCCGTTGATGAAGTGAAGCCACAGATGTATTGTGTAGAGTAAAGCCTACATGATGAACTCATTCATCGACAATTTTCGACGATTACGAAATAAAATGCTATTTTGGTCAGTGTTATCTATTACACCATTGCCCCCTCTCGTTCCTTCGTCTCTCGAGATGTCCAAGTTGATTAAATAGATTTCCCAAGTGAATGTCTATCAACGTTCAAAATGGTGTTTATTTTCTAGTCACTCGTGAGTGGTGGATGCGAGCTATTGATGATGCAAGTTGGACCTATAGGGATACTGGTGTACTTTATTGCAAATTGTCTAAATTAACCAAGGATGGTTCCATCGCATTCGCTTAACTCATGATATTGGAATATAAATATCACCGATTCTAAGTTACTACTCGCAAGTAGTATAAAGCTAAACATCACCGAAATACGAATCCGATTAAGGACTGATAAGGACTAACATCAGAGAAAAAACCATCCACCCTTTTCGTTCACCTCAGATGAAAATTATATTCATGAATGAAATATCTGCAAACCACTCTGATTAAAGACAATAGTGACATATGAAAATCCGGGAAACAAACGCGGACACATTCTTCATTTCGGAAAGTTACACAGCAACTTCTTCTCCCCCATATTTACCGCGACCATCAGCATTTTTAGAATTGTGAATGTGCCGCGATATCAGTGGTCGATTTACGCGTCGTTTTCATAACTCACAAAGTTGAAACGAATAAGGGTCGTATGCGCAATCAGATGAACATTAGTGAAATGTAAAAGAGGAAACCGCTGGGTCAATCAACTAACACTTCTATATGGAAGCAAAGGAAGAATTCTTCCGTGGTAAACGCGTCATAGGTTGGCAATCGTTATTTAAAGAATGTCTTTGTCGGTAAAGTCAAATGGTGAATTTTGTTGGTTGTACAACAATACATTGGCTAAATTTCTGCAAACAATTTGTTTTCCGGCCAGCTGAAACCATACAACGAGTAACAGTAGGCAGGTAGTTAATTTTAAACCTTTACAATAATTATAATTTCTGATTAGTTACGGTCACCACAATTATAATTTCATAGGTATAATCACTTTCCTTTGAATTTCAGTTTTTCGAAACATGAATCTCGACTGATTCCTCAAAAGGTTCACAAAACGGTCACTAAGTTTGAAACACATCGACGAAAGAGATTCCTATTTTTATGAAATGTGTAGTAGATCAACGCTTAGTGGAATAATCGGGCTGTATCTAAGAAAACGTTATTGCATTTCGTTGAAGATGATTCGGAACCCGGATTCGGAAACCTCTCTGTACTATCTAGCCACCAATAGCTCGTCAACCCAGAACAACTCATTTATAAGAATAACGATGTTTGTGCAAAATTATATGAAGTAGGTTTGCCCGTTGTGAATGGTATAGATAGAAATCGTAAAAGTTATACTAAGTAGTTGAGCTGATGAAAATCGGTCAGAAGCCTATTAAATGGATTTCAAATAGCACACAGAGGCTTTGGCTTGATAATTAAACGAAATTCATTTGAATGTACTCAACTATATCATTTTATGAAACTAGGTATCAAGTGCACACATTAGAAAAAGATTAATTTCAGATTACCAAACACTTGTAACTCTGCTATCTATGTAAACAGATGTATACAAAGTAAATCCTCCGCTCAAAGACTGAGGCTTGCGAAATCATGAGCAGGCACGTGAGATGATGCTAGTATGACTAAGCATACAATGATTTATTGATTAATCACGTTTCTGAAATAGACAACATGTCAACTATAAAAGAAGAAAAGCAGGGTGTGTCCTCATTCTGTCAGTGTTGTGGGCTATGGTCCTTCTCGGTTGTCGAAACCAGATTAACAGGCTCATTCTACTAAACCTACTCGAGACCACTATTGAAAAGTTTAACTCATAAGGCAACGAGGCGGTGATTGCAGTCCGAAATGTATTGAGAATCTACGTCCTATCGGTCGAATCACATACCCGTCCGACAGCTCCCTTATCGAGAGTATCAAACACATCCCATTTTTCATTTGACTGTGTCGTACACACCCTGGTCTTGGGGACAGTTCTATCATTCCTTCAAAGGTGGTTCGGAATCAGTATTTGGAAACCATTCCAAACTGCTTAGATGTCAATGCATCATCAACCGAGTAATACCCCGGCGGGGTGTATTATCACCGCGAGAATTCAGTGCGCAAAGAAGTACAACTATACATTTGCAAAGAATGGGTTACAGATAGTGATTTTTATTTAGATAGCGCATTTGTGTTCGCTATTTCTGAAATGTTGCACAGTTATACCAGTTCATTGATTCATAGAAAAGGCTCAGGTGTTGGTCACCATTGCATCAGTAGTCCACGTTTGGTTATGGAATATATTGATTAATCCCATCAGTCATCCTCTAATCAGTGGGATTGTGGCATCATATATGGCTATTCTGCGAGTCTTACGAACCTCCTCTCTTAGAAAATAACAGAACACTCAATAGTTGAAAGCCTCACAATTCAGTTCCACTGTGTATATAAATAAATCAGATTTCACTTGACCGAAATTTGTCTGCTCAAACCTCTTTAATTATTGCAGGAAACTCTATTAAATGTAGATCCCTCCAAATGACGGCATAAATAGCTGTATGAAATATGCTAAGCGGATCTCGACGGACGTTCAACTTTAGCTACACCAGGATTTGTTTGCTGGATCTATAAAGCTGTTCACATTCGAATTCCGTCAACAAAGCCACCCCATTGATATCATCAACATCGTGACCAAGGATACGACGTTAGCTGATCGAATCTCAAAGCATACAATACGAACTGCGACATAAAAACCAATTCCAGACAAAAACAGTTGTCACTTGAGACAGAGAATGTAGAGACTCCGTCGATCGATAAAACAAGAGAAGGAATGTGTGAGGTAGCTCCATTTCAGTTTTTGCAATTATTACTCACGAACCTCCGCGCGCCGGTTTTGGTTGCTGCCTCGTGGCTGAATGTAGTTACAAGCTGGAATCTGTGGAATTCACACAAACTTCTTCAATGTAAATGTTATTATAATAATAATAGTAGTACTCCGGAAAGAATTTGGTAGTTCTTAATAAATTGGCATCATATTTTCGACGCACATGTTCGGCAGATTGATTTCCGCTTATCCATCACATTATCTATGTCTGCACAACTGTCCGATGGATTCAGGATGTCACTTCAGTTTACCATAAAATAATGCGAATCAAATTTCAGGACTTAGCGAACAGGTGAAAACGTTCAAAGCATGTCTGTTCAACAATATTTCCGAAAATCCAACATATAGGTCACACTTTTAGACTTTTGAGACGGTACAGAAACGCATAGAGCATTTTATAACCAATCCGCAATTTCTTAGCCAGGTAGTACCCGAATAATGTACAGAGGTTGAAGTCGGTGTACTGTTCAGACGATGACGAATGAGAAGAAACCGTTATCTTGATCAAAGTACAATTAAACCACCACATCAATATCGCCTCTGATGCTGATGATAAGACAGACGGTTGAAGATAACCAAATACCAAGACAACTTGAACAATGTCTCAGTAGTAGTAGAGTTCAAAACCTATAGATGTATTTCATCCTATTCTGATGTAACCATAAGATGACAAGAAAAAAACATAAACTCGCTTCAAATGCAGTAACCAGGATAAATCACTTGAGACATCTGTTAAATAAAGGTAAAAAGACAGCACACTTGATGCAGCCTATTTTTCGATGTCTAAACTGAATAGAACACTGATGTACGGTGTTTATGTTCATTTAGTTAACATTGTCAAAACAGAGATCAAGATCTCGACTGCTCTCAATACAAAACTAAACCCTCATTGCAGTATTTCCTAAAATGCAACTCCCTGCTGGAAGAAAGACCGTCAAAATGTGCATTCAATAACTGAAGAGGAAGCTGAGGCAATATTGTCATATTTTATGATTAGATGCAATATCTGATTTAAATATAATTCTCTGGATTTTAGTTAGCCCTTATGACAAAAAATCGTTGAGCATTTCTACTTTCACTCTTCTGGACATGACAGTTACCCGGCATCTCAATGTGTTCAATTTATATTTATATGCGCTACCACTATTGNGAGCTAATATTATACATGAAATCTATCCATCACCTGGTGAATCGCTCTTTTAGCTCATATCCTAAACGTTTCTATCCTGTGTAAATTGACTTGACGGAACAAGATACTTCATGCTTGAAATGTCAAAGTACATTGTGTCGTGGTCTGCTGCGTGGAAATAGAGAGCACATCCATTTATTGTAAACACGGTAATTTCCGTGACCGATGTGGGCCTTACTTGATTGTCCGTAGCACTTCACCACCCAAGTTTCA